CCCCCATCCAGTTGAAATCAAGGTCATTAAAGACCTGCCATGGCCACCGCCGGTGGGACAGCTTGACAGCGGTGAAAGCCCCCCGGACGGTGAGGCCGGTGCCTCCGTCCCTCCGCACTACGGCCAGCCCAGCTACGAAGACGCCAACGGTGGGTCTTGCGTGACAGTGGGGTGTCCATGGGGGCTGTGGCCAGTGCTCACTGTGACCCTGCCTCGCTGCCCCGCCAGCACCGAGATGCTGCAACGCCTCAGAGCTTGCCTGGACCTGGCAGGGCTCTGCCAGCGGGCGCTGCCGGACATCCACCCTACTCCACCTTCCCCCGGCTCCTCTGGCCCATTCAGTTGTTCTGTGCCGGACACCAGATGTTTGTCCTTGCCTCTTCTGCATCTTCTCTAGCTCCACAATGCCTCTTTGCAATGCAGCAGATGAGCTGCACCAGCAGATTATTCGGTGGTAGAGTTACTACCTTCTCTTTTGTTCTCTCCTCTTTGCCTCCAAACACCCAATGTTTGATGGCTGCTTTTAACAACTGCTCTGAGCATTTAGCTGATGTTGTCTCACGACTCTTAATACCCAGGTCCCTTACAGGTGTGGTAGCAGCTAATTCAGATCCCACTGCTGAAGTTGGGGTTGTTTTTCCATGTGCACCTTGCTCTGTCATTTAGCACTGCTCCATTTCCTCAGCTATTTTATTACCTTGCTGCTCAGTGGCTGGAGGTCCCTCTGGATTCTTTGCTCTAGTTTTTGCTATCCTGAACAGCTAAATCTCCCAGGTACGCTTCGTCATCTCAGGTTTGCCTTGTTGTGAAGCCTTTTTTGTGTGTCTGTGCTGAGCAGCAGAACCCCCATGTAAATCCCCCTTGGAGTCTGCTGGCAGTCTCACTTACAAAAGCCAAATATCGCTGCTGCTCTTTTAACTCATTACTAGCATTTTAGGGACCTTGCTCTTATGCTGTACGGGTTAGGGTTTTGACAAGAGCATTAGGTGGGAGGGGTTGTCAAAAGCCATACAGGCTTTCAGGGTTGGGCTGCTGCTCTCGTGGAAAACTGGGATGGATCTGTGAGACATGACTTTTTCTCGACAAAGCAGTGGCTGTTCCCCGGCGTGCCATGCCTGCCCGTGCGTCACTAATGCTGTTGCTGGTAGACACTGTGACGTGCTGGGTGCAGATGTCTGATTTCCTTATCTGCAGTTAACCCGGATCCCTGCAGAGCTTCATAAAGGAAAAAAAATATGGTATTTGCTTCCTCCCAGGTGGGTTTGAGCACGAGGTTGCACAACAGCTGATTTCGCTGCTGATTGTAGGGGCACTCCAGAGTGATGCAGCTGCTCTGCCGGAGCCACGTCGGGGTACTGTCCCAGACCCATAGGGATGCTTCAGCCTGAGCTCAGTCTCGAAAAAGAAAGGTCTTGGCATGGGGGAACTTCCCGATCCTCTTCCTACAATGAATGCAGGTGTCAAGAAAAATTAATTTCTTTGCTATGCAGCCTCTACTCTTCCCCCATCATTTATAATATCCCTGCAGTCGCTCTGACATGCATCCTACTCCTGATGAACACATCAGTTTGTCATTTTTCCTGGTTTTAGCAACACAGAGTCTCTTTTTTTCCTGACTTGCATTGTTGTGCTAAGTTTATCTTTCCAGAGTTTTGTCTCATTTTCTACTTCTCCTGTCTGGGGATGACTTGAACTTCTTGAAGGATGTCTTCTTACTCCTAGGGGCTTGTTTTTAATATCCTGTTTAATCATGCACATGACTCTACCTCTCTGTGACAGGTGCAATGCATTTCTTCTGAGCCTCTAACACGATGACTTTGTGCCGCCAGCAAACACTTCATTGTTTTGATTGTCTGGCTTTTTAACAATTGCCCAGATTTTTTAAGGTGATGAGTTGAAATTGAAGCCTGGATGTTATGTACAGGGGTGAGCCTCGCTGGTGAAAAGTGAAACCACTGCAGAGACATGGCTTGTCAGGCCTTAATGCTGAGCACCTCCTCCACAAGCTCCTTCCCGGGGCCTTTAAAGCCATGCTAAGCTGCAGAGGATTTTGGATGTGTTTCATTTCAACTGCCTCCCTCTCTTCTCAGTGCTGGCAGGGGCTGGAGACCTGGTTGCCTGTGTAGGGCTCAGACAAAGTGTCCCTCAAATAGCTGCCTTAGAGGATACCCTGCTAGAGAGAAAAACATCCCTCTCTGGGTAGTTTTTGCCTCTGTGCTGCAGCAATGGCCTCAGCATCGGCCTGCTTTTGCTTCCCCCTCCAGCACCCGGGAAGCATGGGGAGGGGTGAAGCTGCCCAGTTGGGGGCATCCCACTTGTCCTGGGAGCCGTGGTGCCTGTGCTCAGCTACCTCTGGGGTGTCTGTGCCTCCACGGCACCAGCCACCAGCAGCCTCATGTCAAGGCAGCTCTGCCTGATCGATAACTAATTTGTGTGAGGGGGCTTGCATTGCAGGGGAGCAATAATGAACTCTCTGGAGGCGGGAGAAACAATATCGTTAATGCTGAAATCATCCTGCAAGGAAATAACAGTCGGCGGGAGGCTGGGTCCCCAGGGCACGTCTGGGTTAATGCCCTGCCGCTCGCGGGGCAGCATGCACCGGGCTGCTGTGCTCTGTCATCGCATGGGGGCCTGTGGTTGGGCTGGTGCCGGGTAGATGGTTGTATTGGGGAGGCACCTCACAGTCAAAATGTCCCCTTCCCACCTCAGAAAATTATTTTTTTCACCCCAGGAGGTTTACTTGTGCCAGCAGAAATGCGTCCATCCTTTCCAAACTGACTGCTCCCTTTAGCTCTACCCCTTCCTCTTCTTTTTTTTTAATTTAATTTTTATTTCAAGATTAGGGAGTCTGTCCTTACTGCTTCTAACTTTATGCCACAACCATTGAATCTCTGGTTGCATTAGCAAAACCTCTCTGAGCCTTTGAAACTGCCCTAGAAAGTATTTCCAGGAGCTCAGGTGCTGTAGGAACCTCAGTCCTGGTGTGGTAGGCATCCAGCCTCATCTATCCTGGGACACTGCAGTGAGCAGCAGCCCAAGAGCTGCCCTGCCCGTACTTAGAGCAGGGGAATGGGGCAGTGCGGGGGGACCCAGCACGATGTGATGTGGCTCTGGATTTTTCTGCGGGCTCCCTCCGCAGATGTGGAGCTGGGAGCCCAGCCTGTCCGGCTGTCCCCGCCACTGGCTGTGACACGTGTCTGTCCTGCAGGTCCATCAGAGGGGTTGGGGTATGGCCACACCTCACCCTGCAGGGAGGAGAAGGCCAGGGCTGCCCTCAGGCATGGCTCCAGCAGCCTCAAGAGCACGAAGATGCTGATTGCTGAACCTGGCCCCTTCGTCGGGGAGAGGATTGACCCTGCCCTGCCCCTGGAGAGCCAGTGGTGAGTTCTGCCTGCCCCGAGCAGCTGCCCAACCCCTCTGCCTGCTCCAGGATCCCTGTGGCCACACCACAGGGAGCCCTGGCACAGACCTGCTTCTTTCTTTCTTCCCTGACACACATTTCTGCCTGCTTGTTCCTGGCACCCATCTCACAGTCACAGTGTCCCCATGTGCCCTCTGCACTGCCCTGAGCTGCCCAGTGGCAGGCCTGCCCCTTGTCCCCCAACCCTGGTGGTGCCACCCGCATCTCTCTCCCTGAACATGGGTGCTGTTCCCGTGGAGGTGCTGGGGGGGATGGCCCCAGGGCAGAGTCCTTCCCGGGGTGTCTGGCGACTGCCCGGCACAGCCGGTCCCTCTCCTGCCTCTCCAGCTGGTACCATGGGGCCATCAGCCGGACAGACGCGGAGACGCTGCTGAGGCTGTGCAAGGAGGCCAGCTACTTGGTGCGCAACAGCGAGACCAGCAAGAATGACTTCTCCCTCTCCTTGAAGTGAGTGAGCGGGACAGGGACGGGGGGCGGTGCTGTGGGTGACCCCTCATGGGTGGGTGCCCCATGTGAACATGCCGATGGGGTAACTGAGACAACCATGGGGTGGTCAGAAATGGCTGGAATACGAAGTCTGCTCTTCTTTATGGTGTGACACAGGCTTCAGGTTTGGTGTCTGGCAAAAGTATCTCTCAGGGAGGCTTGTGGATCTGGAGGCACACTGTTCTTCCCTTGGCAGTGCTAGTAATCCTTCATACAGATAAAATGATGTGCCTCACTGCTCACTTGTACGGGTCTGGTTACAGCTTTCAGCTCTGGCTTCTTGTTACCCTATTTTTTGTAGTTTCATGGGAATAAAAAGTTGGTGTGACCCTGTTGTTGATGGCAACACAGGTACCCATCGCAGCCTCCCTAGCTCATGTAATCATTGAAGCCATTGCTCAGCCCCACTGTAGAGGGCATTGTGCTGCTTTGGTTTCCCAGCAGGGAAGCCTCACCGCCACAACATGGCTTGGTTTCTGCTTGTTTTTTGCGGGGGGATCTTTGCACCTTCCCCAAGTTTTCCAGATTCCCTGAGTGCCAGAACTGCATGAAGCATCACTGCCCGTGTCCTGCTGGGGAGGAGCTGCCCATAGCTCCTCATCCAGCTCTTTTAAAGAGCTCTAATCAAAGCTGTTACTGTCCTGAAGATGATGATGGGTTAGCAAATACCTTGCCCTTCTGCTGGATGACTATATTAGGTCTATTCCTAGCGGATGTGAAAAAAGTATTTATTGAGCACTTCAGTTTTCTCCGCCCAACAACAGGCCATGTATCCCTATGCTTTCCTCAATATACTTTTAAGTTTTCCCAGTGGTCTCTGTACCTGCATTGCTCCCTGGTGGTTTCGGCCTCCCCTTTTTATTTCTCACAATTGTGAATTAGATTACCTTTCTATATTTTTTTTCCATTTTTTTGCTGCCTTCAGCACCAAACCAGGGCAGAAGTTTAGCTGAAAATATTCTTTCTTCCTTGTGTACTTGTAGCTTTCAGATCAGACAATAAGCCTTTCTGGAAAAGCTCCCTCCTTTCCTTTTTTTTTTTTTTGTTAGAATTTTTACTGAAATTTTTCCTCAATATTTTTTTCCTTGCCCTGGCTTGCAAGCAGTTTTGAAGTGACAGCTTCTGCTGGTTGGTGAGTCATATTCAAGGCTGCAAGAGGTCCTCTCAGCCATCGTCTCGTGGGTGGCATTAGCCAGCGTGTTATTAGAGAGCCTGGGAGGTGGCTTTGGGGTAGTTGATGGGGCTTCCTCCCTCGCCAGCATGAGTGCCCCTTTCCATCACCTCCCTAGAAGCCAGTCACCCATTTCTTTGAGGTGTTTTCCTTAGTTCTTGCTGCCTGTCCTTAGCCTCATGGCAAAAATGGCCAAATCCTCTTCTCAAATGGCATATGTGGCTAGGACATGGCCTTGCAGCAGCATGACGCTTCCCCAGAGGAGACTGTGGCCCATCCAGGAGCTGCTCAGGCATTGCCTGTGCACTAGCTCTGCTTGCATAGAGCCCGCAGCCTTGGGAGCGTGATTTTAACTCCACTGCCTTTCTCTGTAGAGCCTTTTCAAAGAAAGTCCCTTGGGATGCTTTTTATATAGCTGTAAGCTGGCTGGCTGTGTCACTTTTTTTTTTTTCCCAACTTTTTTTTTCTTTTTCCTTGAGAAAGGAGGCACAGCTGAGGACATGGTCTGAAAGAGAGCTCTGGTGCTGACCTAATGCCCTTTTGTGCTGCTTTAAAGGAAACTATGCACAAGAGAGAAGCAGGAGCGGCTGTACCAGTAGCGTGTCAGGTAGCCGGCAGGATTTAACCCTGCCGTGACAGTCCTGGCTGATCTAGGCTAGGCAGCCCCATGCTGCCTGTCATGGACAGGGTTGTAGTGTTAATGCCTCAACTGCTCAGAGAATGAGTCCTTCCTGGCTCGCACCTCCATGAGAGTGACTGAGGCCACGCTGCAAAGGTTTGGGTCCTTCCTCTCATCTGTAAGGTGTCAGCAGGAGCAGCACCTGCCCCTTCTCCCACCACTGCTGCTGGCTGCAAGGCTGTCGGGTTTGCAGTACGCTCCCTTAGGCATTGTCCCGGGGATCTCATCTCATTCACATCCCTGAGCTTGTGACAAAGTCCCATGGAGTGATTTGAACAAAGCACAACCAGCCTCACCTCTCTGTGGACCTGTGTGGCAGTGGTCTGGCACCGATCCTGCCCCGGGTTCCTGCACATCTCTCCCCTGCCAGCACCAGGCAAGGGCTGGGTCCACCCGCAGACAGGGTGCAGCGCCGAGGGCGGCACCTGTGGGCAGCTCTGCGTGTTAGCGGTGCGACCGTGTGTGTGTGCGCGCGTGTGCGCAGGATAAACCCACGCACCTTCACAGGGGCCATGCATGGTGCAGCCCCTGCAGCTCTTCCCTGTGCCCCACCGCCGGGATGCAGGATGCGGCCAGCTATCACTTTGCCGTGGCCCTTGGTGGGGGGCTGCAGCTCTCCCCGCTGCCTTCCCCGGCGCGGCTGACTCCTTGCCTCTCGGCGCTAAATGGATTGCAAACCCATTCTGCTAATGCAGCCGGGCTGTCCGTTATGGGCACTGTCTCCAGCCGGGGGGATGGGACTAGCCTGTGCAGCACTGAAAGTGGTTCAGCATTGCTGATGAGGTCCTGTCTGCTTTTAAGTCATCAATATTTTGCCCTAATGTGCATTCCAGACGCTGCAGACAGGCTATGGCTCTCCTCAGAGACGCAAATTAATAGCAACAGGGCCATTAGCCCGTCACTTGGAATCAGTGCTCATGGCAGGATCTGCCTGTGCAGCCTGGCGTGGCTCAGTGCCTGTGCTGTGCCGGGAAGCGGCCTCGCTACGCAGAGCAGGTTTTATGGACCCCGCAGTGTTGGTGGGGGGAGGGTGGGCGGGGGTAATGCACTGTGGGATGAAGGAGAAAATCCTGCTTTGCCACAGTGACACTGGAGATACATGAGCTGAAATTCTCCCATGTGAGCCAGGGTCGTTGCAAAAGGGCTTTGCCACATGCAAGAGGTGAAAGCTGATGTCCCGACATCACCTTGCAGCAAGAGCTGCGGCTGTTCCTGCCCAGGCTCTGCCTTCTCTGCCCTGCCTGCATGCACTTACCTCAGCCTCGCACCGTCCTTGTTCCCGGGTGGACACCTCACATGTCACTGTGTGGCTGTGCTCCCCGGGGGGGACACAGTGCAGCATGGCTGGCCATGTCCCTCCCCTGTGCCGTGGGCTTCATCTGGAGTTGGCCAGGAACGGGATGGTGTGGGCAGGGCCATGGCTGGGCACAGGAGTCAGCAGCGCCTCCCCCAGCTGCAGGGGCAGGCTGCATGTCTTGGAGAGGTCAGGATCTGATGGAAGGCTCAGGCCAGCTGCACCTCCTAACTCTGCCTCAATCTCTCCTTGCAGGAGCAGCCAGGGCTTCATGCACATGAAACTGTCCCGGACCCAAGAGAACAAGTATGTGCTGGGTCAGCACAGCCCGCCCTTCGACAGCGTGCCAGAGATCATTCATCACTATGCCAGCCGCAAGCTGCCCATCAAGGGGGCTGAGCACATGTCCTTGCTTTACCCGGTGGCTATCCGTACCCTATAGTACTCACCCTCCGTGAGCCAGGCTCGAGGCTGGGTGCACCCGAAACTGGCCCGTCCACAGGGCCGAGCATTGCTGTGCTGAGGACGGGCTCCGGACCAGCAGCCCATAAGCAGCTCATTGGGCGTGGCTGGTGCTGCTGGGGATTGCTGCAGCTGCACCCCTCGTCCCGCTCTCTCGGGGGGCTCCTGGGTGCTGGTTTGCCCACTGAGATGGCACCGGGAGGACCCCCTGTGTGAGGAGCTGAGCGGGGCTTGCCAGCTGTCCCCTGCCCTCGCCTGCCTCTGGGCAGAGCTCGGGTTGCAAGGGCTGGAACTGGGGCCTGGGAGAGGCTGGGGAGGGGGGCGATGTGTGGGGAAAAGGGGGAGAAATCATCCAGTAGCAGGCCTGAGGTGCCTCCCAACAGGGGCCTGGCTCTGCCCATGGGAGACAAAATGGCTGTGCCCAAGGTGAGGTGGCTGGCAGGGCACGAGCAGGGGCCTGCCAGGGGCTAGCGAGGCACAGGGGTCAGGCAGGCCGGTGCTGGCCCCCACCCACCCACACGGGTGCTTGGTACTTGCCACCATCCTTTGCCAAATGTAAATAGTGACCGGTCTTGGCTGCGTGTGCAGCACCACTGCCCAATAAAGCAGTGCATGGTCTCCTGCTGCTCCATGGGGACCGCATGCCCGCATCCCGCCACCTTGATTGGGGCATTGGTGTGACAAAATGGCGGGGAGGGGGATTTTATTACACAAAAGCTCTAAGCGAATTGATTTTTATTTTGCTCTTGCATACACTGAGAGCCCTGTGCCTGAATGGTCCAGCCAGCTCACTCGACTGAGACACAGGGGACAAGGGGCACTGGTGGTCACATCCTTGCTAATGTCTTTGGAACCCTTCGTGGGCAGTGATGAGCTGATTTGGTCAAGCCTGTTATTCCCTATAGAAGGGGGTGTTCTTTGGGATCTTTTGCCTCCTGTTTTCCTTCATCCTCTGTAAGTCTTAGGCAAAGTCCCTGAATTTCACAGACCTCCTGTTTTCCTCCTCTGGGTATTTACTGGCTCCAGTCTTGTCCATCTTTTGGACTCCTTGTCTTTGGGCAGCTTGCTCCTTCTCTTCTTTTGGCTGAAGCTACAGCTGATGCTCTGTAGCATTTAATGCATACCTTGCCTTTTAACCGTGTTCCTGGTCTTGCTGCTGTATCCACGCCTGTACGTTTCCTCCATCCATGCTTCAAAGCCTAGTCTTGCAGTTACTCTCCTGCAGTGTGTTCCCTTTCCCCTCCGCTCCCTGTGTGCCCTCACTGTGCTCAGCAGAGGGGATGGTGGCAGCAAATGCGCGGCTGGACCAGCAAAACCTTTTGCATCAGCAGAGTAAAGCACTTAGGGCATTGGTGGGATGTGTTAGCAGTGTCTTGATGAAGGCTTTGTGAAAAAGCATCATCCTCCGCATCACCTGCTCCCAGGAAGGAGCAGGTCCTGCTGGTTTGTGGGGGGAGGCAGGTGATTGATGAGACCGTGGGGACCTTGCATGGGTGAACGCTGCAGCCACAGCAGAAACCCAGCTCTACCATCCAGGGCTCTGGTGTTCTCCAGACGATCTGTAGCTGTCCTGGCTGCTCATCGTGGCTTTGAGCTGCTGTGGGGACCATTGGGCACAGCTGGTGTGGTCCCTGAGTGCATGCTGCAGTTGGGAGCCTGCAGAAACTGGTGGTTTGTTCCAGGATGCCTCAACCTCTGCCGCTCCTTAAAAGGCAGCAGTTTATGCTGGTCGGGTGCCCGGTGCCTTCTTACAGGCCTGCTTGGCTGCTGGCAGCTCCCTGGCTGCCTCTCACTCTCCATCCCAGGGAGGCATCTTGTCCGTGGATGGAGATGGCTCCAGCTGAAGGTTTTTTCTCCCCGCAGTGCCATACCGGAGCCTGCAGAGAGGGCTGGAGAGGCAGAAATCTGCAGAGATGCTCTTGGATGCCCTTGCTGCATTTAAAAGGTTTCAAGGCCCCTTAGCAGCCCTGTTGTGCTCTGATGGCACCAGCACAGAGCTCATCCCTGGGGTTACTCTGCTGTCTCCGTGGCCATGGCTGGGAAAGCAGAGGCTTCTTGGGTCGTGCAGCTGAGGAATGAAGGCAGAGAGAGGCTCCCCACGTATTGTGTTTTTCTTGAGAAACTTTGGTAGGGAGCAAACTGCCTGGCAGCCAGTGTACTGTATCAGTAAGCTCACAGCCTTATGGTGAAAATCCTGCCCAAGCAGCCTGGCTGAATCTTGGGGACATCCTGGCCGAGCACTAAGATATGTGAGACCTGTGTGCATTGCACCAGCTCCCCAGAAACAGTCATGGACCAGCAGAACTGCTCTGGAGCTGGCTTTGTGCTTCAGCTAAGCAGCTCTCAATCCTCCCTGTGGCAATTACATCCCTTCTCAGACCTCTGTTCTTCAGGCTGAAGATGCCCAGCTCCTCAAGCATCTCCTTGTACAACATGTTCTCCCGCCCTGGCCATCCTAGTGACCTTCTGCAGGACTCTCTCCTTGTACTTGGGGTTCAGAATTGGACACAGTATCCTGATGTGGCCTCACCAGTGCCAAATAAAGGGAAATAACCACTTCCTTTCACCTGGCTATGCTCATATGGTAACTTGAGTTGGAAGGGACCTCAGGAGGTCTGTAGTGCATCCTCCTGCTCCAAGCAGTGTTAGTGTTGACCAGAGTCAGGAATGGCTTATTTTGGAGCGAAGCAGAACTGCCCTAAGCCTAGCTACATTTTTTTCTCCCCCTCTTCATAGCACTACCAGGAGGGACTGGACACCAGGGATAAAGCATAGTATTACCAGGAGAGGCTGGTCATTAGGGATAGAAGACTGAAAATTCACTGCAAACTGAGGGCATGCAACCTCCAGCTCCATGTGGGCCCTCGTGATAGAGAAGGTCCAACAAGAAAGATGCAGTGACAGGGTACAGAATGCAGAACCATAGCAAAGAGCCAGCCCACAGTTTGGCATTGGGTCAGGGGATGGACCTAATCTCAAATGGGGCAGATCCAAGCAAGTTCTGGGTCCTGTTTGGACCCAGGGGGTCTTTATTTTGGGATTCCCACAAAAAGCATATGACTCAGTCTGGTTGGTGCATTTCATCCTCTGTGATGGGAGCTGATCAGGAGCTCCCCAGAAAATTTGAATTGAAACTCTCTTGCAAGGGTATTTTAGTGCTACCTTTGCATTCCCATGACTGAAGTGAGTGTTGTTTGGGATTGAGGTGGGTGGGTGCAGCCATGTGACAAGGCTAGAGAGGTGATGGGGGATCACCATTCATGAGGATGCTAATCCCCAGGATGGACAAGGGCCTGAGCAACCTGATGTGGCTTTGAGGTTAACCCTGATGGGAGCATGAAGGTTGACGAGAGACCTTTGTAGAAATTCCCAATCCACTTGTCCCGGCAATCCCCCGTGTCCTCCCAGCTGCCTCTGTTGTCTGTCCCTCCTCCCTGCAAGTGAAACAGCTCTGTCATTCATTGCCTGATCTCTAGTCCCTTGCTAAGCCCTCCATAATCACTGAGCTGTTTTAGCATTCTGCGGGCCCTGATAATGAAGGAAGTTTGTTTCATAATTGGATTAGCACTGCTGGGAACATGCTCTTGCATGGTGGTCAGGGCTGAGCCGGTGCGGCCCCCGAGTCCCCTGCTGCTCTGCCTGATTGTGGGCCAGCTTGGGGCTGTGCTTATTCCCGCACAGGACTTCACTGGCCAAAAGATGTAGTCTTGCAGGAGGAAGGCAACCAAGAGGGGTGAAAGGCTGATGCAGGGCAGAATTTGAGCTTTCCCTCCTTGGAAGCTGGGGTGTGTTTGCAGAAACTGTCACAGTCCCTAAGTCTCTCACCTGCTGGAAATTAAGCACTTTGGTTAGCATCAAGCTCCACATCAGCCTTATCACCTGCCCCAGCACAAGCCATTAAGGCTCCTGAACACCTCAGAGGCTGGAGAGCATCACCAGTGACTGATCCTTGTGGGACTGGGTAAAACCCTCAGATGTGTTGTGGGGTGTGGTCCCATCATCCGTGGGATTCCTGCCCTTCTGGCCTGGAGGAGTTCCCTTAAACCCAAGCGTAGTGATTAGTTTAAAACCCCAGCCCTAGCAGTGATGCATAAGTTGCTTGGATATCACAGAAAACACAGTGCCCTGTGTTCTGTCTCAAACCACAGCAATCTGCAGAAGGATCAAATAACCCAATAGCTCAGCTGCCAAAGTTTATAGCAAAGGAGAAAAATTTGTTCCCAATCCCTGCAGGCTACCAGCAAAACGTGCAGTGTAGCACATACATAGCACACACATAAATGTGGCACACGTATGGCCCAGCTGATTGCCTCCTTTCAGATCTCAGAAAGACTAATGTATCTGACACAAGGGGCAAGTTCAGCTCCTAACTCAGAGACCACCCTTTGGTATGCTTCCCCAGCATCCTCAAGCCAGTTACTTGCTCCTGGTACTCTGTTGGAAGATTGTCCCAAAACATCTATGCTTGGATGCTTCCACCTAATTTTCAGTCTACTTGTGAGCAGTTCTCTCCTTCTCCTTGCAAAATTTTGGAGGCATGTCTCCAAAACAGCATGCTTGGGCAGATCTTCCAGGGGAGATCTTCCCGGTGCCTTGCTAGTGATGTGGCTGTGTCGCTTCTGAAAGCACATCCCAGGCATGACAGCTGCACACTCCCAGCCCTGCACTGCTTGCTATTAACAGTGGCAGGGTAATTCCAAGACTGAGGTGGAGGAACAGTGCTAGAAGCAGCTCCTTGCTCAGAGACATCCCTTTTGATACAACCCACCATTTGCTTGATTAGCTGGTTCCTCCTCTGCTATGTCCATACCCATGACTTCCAGCATTGGAAACTGGGTCATACTGGGTGCCAATCAAACTTTTTCCTTATATCTAGGCAGGCTAAATGCACTGCATCGCCTTGTCTAAGGTAATTATCAAAGAAAAATCATTACGTTACATTCAGACAATGTATCCGTGATAAATTCGGTTTCCATTTGCCTTCATATCTTGAAGCTGGGTTTCCTTAAAAAAAAAAAAAACCTCAGAAAGGTGTGAAAGTCTAGATATGTTTTAATCCCTCTTTTCCTTTTTCTGGATGTTGGAGGCATATTTGCTGCATTTGTTTGCTATTTGAGCCATATTCAGGTTATCCTAAACCTGATCCTTCCTTCACAGTGAAGTGACCTTGCTTCTTTCCTCCCTGATCTCACGCAGCACCTCCTGCCTGACCCTCATCTCCTGCATCCGGAGTGTGTCCTCATCTGGTGGTCATGCCTCAGGCATTCTCTGTCCTTTGCATCTTGCTCAGCTTGATGACCTGTGCAGCTAGAAGTCTTTCTCTTAATTTCCAGGATAAATATATGCATGCTGAATTTTTCTTACTAAGTGGCAGAACATAGCAAGTCCCGATCTGTCTGTGCCTGCGTGGGACGGACAGGCTCTGCACGTGTGTGTCCTGTCTCCCTGTTCCTGTGTGGGGTGGCCTTGCTGCGCATGTGCAGTGTGCTGGGATTCACTGTCCACATGCAGCATTACAGCCTCTCTGCGCATGCACAGCGTGCCCTGATTTACTGCATGCACTAAGAGTTGCCTCTGCAAATTCACAGCACGTCGGGTTTAAGTGTGCTCTCTCTGACTGTGCAGTGTCCTGATTTACAGGGAGGGCTTTTGCATCTCTTTGTCTGTGTACAGCACCTTGAGTCACTGCCCCTCTCCCAGTCTGCCTGGTTTGCCCCTTGTGCATGTGGCAGTCCTGGATTTACTGGATGTGCAGTGGGTGGGCACTGCATGCAGCGTGGGGCAGCCTCCGTGTGCTCCTAAATTTATTACATGTGCATTTGCTGCTTTCCTACAGGGATGCCTCTGGTCAGGCACACTGCAGCGGTGCTTTTTGCTTGTGTGCAAGGCACTAGCATCATGTCCTGACATCTGAACTCTAGCTGCGGATTCTGCATCCCACATTGCAGCCCCAGTAACTGAGGTCTTCTCAGGGGATGCTTATGGGATCCCAGTTACTTGCTCTACTGACCTGTTGGTTTGGGAGAGCAAAAGGGAAAAACTGGCATGTCAGAGACCCCCAGAAATGCTTCAGAGGGCAGAAGGGACCATACAGTTCACTCAGAATTGCAGAATGTGCCCACCCAGGCCTACGCTGAGAAAGGTGAGGAAGGTGTGACCCCCAGCCATGGTCTGTGGTGGCCTGTGAAGGAAGCATGGGAGAGGCAGGGTTTCTCATCCCTTGCCCTGGGAAGGTCTCCAGCCCCATTTGTGATGCTGGTGACCAGGGCGTGCAGGGAGAGCTGCCAGCTGGAGCTGGCTGGGGCTGGGAAGAAGGAGGTACAAGATGAGACTTCTCCAGTTCATTGTAGGGAATGTGGTACCTGGTTTTCTTGTTTTTTTTTCCAGAGAGGGGCCGAGCTAAAAGCATCTTGCCCTCTTCTGCTGTGATTTGCAGCTGAGCTCCCAGATACTATGGGCTGGGGGAAGTGGTCCGGGTGGGACCAGGAAGGGCTGGAGAATGCGTCACACACGCGGGGAGGGCTCTTGCCCTTGCATTTGGCTTCCAGCCAGTCCCAGAGGAAGCAGCACATCATACACCAGAGCAGGCAAGAGAGCAAGCACAGGGATGTTGCCCAGTGCCCTCTGCATCACAGACCCCACACTGCCCAGTTCAGCTGAGGGTCCCTCTGCCAGTCCATCATTCAGGGTGACCTCAGGCTTTGTGGGTCTGGCCTTGTCTGCCCTGCAGACAGGATGGTAATTCATGGTGCACCTGCTGTCAGCACCACAATAACTGTCTCTGCAGAGCTGGTCCTGCTCAGGGCCATTGCCAGCAATATCCTTTTATCATCGTACATCTCATTCCCCCGTTGGCAGTTGCATTAAATGTGTTAGTGAGGCCAAATGCCCGTCAGGATGCAAGGTCAGGTCGCCCTGTGGCGGGTGATGATTTTGACATGCTCACAGGTTTGTTGGGGTGTGGAGTGCGAGCATCTCTCTCCCGTGGCTTGATGCAGGGACAGGACAGGGTCTCCTGTGGTGGCACTGGAGGGGGACATCCCTGCACCACGTCCCCCCCTGCTCTGATATCCATTCAGCAGCATGTCTGGTCTGTCCGTGGTCTCTGTGTGCTCTCTGTGTGGGGAGTGGGGTCAGGCGATCCCTCCCTGATGGCAGATGCGCTGCTCATTTCCATTTAGATAGAGGAATTTCAATCTTGGCTTGACGTCTCCTTGCCACGGTGTGACTCAGGACCCAAATTTCCAATTTTCTTCCCCATGCAACGCCAGATGCTCTTTGTTGGCTTAGGAACTGAAACACATTAGAGATGCTGCAGCCTGGCAGAGGCAGAGACTTGGGTGTGTGAACACGGGATTATCTGTGTAGCTCTACGAGGCAGCTGGCACATATGGCTTCTCTGCACCCAAATCTGTTGCACTGCCCAAGAATGCTCCCATGGCCTCTCACTAGCTCCCTTCCCTACCCCTGCCCAGTGACAGGAGATTAAAACCACTATCCGGAGTTGGCCCCCATGATACAGGATCCAGATCACTTGGGGGACAGGATGGACACACAAGAAGTCACCCTGATGACCATGGCAATGAGGAGAACCAGCTATTTCTGTCTTCCAGTGGGAAAAACACAAGAAGAAATCCAGCAAGGGGGTGAGGACATCCTTATTTGATGCCTACATCGAGTTCACCTGTCCACAGATAGGTGTGTGATCCTGGATGTGGTCTCCAGCACATACTTAGCACGTCTGTGCCTGTAGGAATGAACACCACAGTTTTGCTAAGCTAAAAATGTGACAGCTTGTGGAAAAGAAGCTAGAGAGGGTTGGTAGAGCAAGCCACAACCTCGTGGGTATGGACTGAAGACTTCAGTTTGGAGGTCTGGGGCATGTTGATTTGCATATAGATAGGGAGGCTCTGCAGAGAGACCTGGATAGATTGGATCAGCCAACGTTAAGAGGATGGGCTTCAACAAGCCAAGTGCCAGGTCCTGCCCTTGGGCCACAACAACCCCCTGCATGGCTACAGGCTTGGGGAGGGGTGGCTGGAGCTGTCTGGGAGAGAGGGATCTGGGGGTTCTAATGGACAAGCAGCCGAACATGAGCCAGCAGTGTGCCCGCGTGGCCAAGGAAGCCAGCGGCATCCTGGCTTGTGTCAGCACTAGTGTGAGCAGCAGGAGCAGGGAGGTGACTGTTCCCCTGTGCTCGGCACTGGTGAGGCCACACCTGGAGGGTTGTGTCCAGGTTGGGCACCTCAACACGAGAGAGATCTCAAGGGGCTGGAGCGAGGGCAGAGGAGGGCAGCGAGGCTGGGGAAGGGCCTGGAGAGTAAATCCTGTGAGGAGCCATGGAAGGAGCTGGGGGTGTTCAGTGTGAGGAGGAGGAGGCTGAGGGGAGAGAGACCTCATCACTCTCTGCAGCTCCTGAAAGGACATTGCAGAGAGGCTGGGGCTGGGCTCTGCTCCCAGGGAATCAGGGACAGAGCAAGAGGGAACAGCTGGAAACTGCAGCAGGGGAGGGTCAGGCTGGACATGAGGAGAAAATATTTCCCCGAAAGAGTGGTCAGAGAGTGGAACAGGCTGCCCAGGGAGGGGGGAGTCCCCATCCTTGGGGTGTTTAAGGGCCGTTGGGATGAGCTGGGGGGGGATGTGGGGCGGGGGAGAACTTTGTAGACTTGGGCTGAGGGTTGGACTCGATGATCCCGAGGGGCTTTTCCAACCTGAACGGTTCTGGGATTCTGTGATTCTAAGTGAAAGGAGGTTGGCTTGGCTACACCGAGCGGTAAGGGAGGCTACCGAGAGGCCCCTTCCAGAGGGCTGAGGGCTCGTACCGGAGCAGAAGGCACTAAGGCTGGAGGAGGGGCGGGCGGGCAGCGCACAGTACATGAGGCGGGC